AAAAAAACTATGAACAAATTCCTATGCACACTGAACATATCTTATTTTGAAGTAAAAAAACAAATGGAGCAAAAACACCTGGTGGGCCAGATAAATGTCCTCGGCGGGCCGCATGTGGCCCGCGGACCCCTGCTCCAGACTAAGACTAGGAAGAGAGGCCCAGTGGTTCACTACCAAAAATCAGCCCATGAAAATCATAAGATCGCACAGTTGGTGATGGGGTTAAATATTGTTAGGTTGTGCATGGAGTCAGTATGAGTTATAGGCTGACTCAATAGTAGTTAACAGCAACAACAAAGAAAAATTACTAACTAGTTAAAATTTTCCAAATACTATATCACATGACCTTTTTTTAAACTATATTAACTATTTAACAGAATAAAAATTATCTAATTATTGATTTGATATACCAGTGACTCAATTCTCTATTTTGCTTTTCTAGTTGCTCTTTATTTACTTCTGAATCTTGCTGAAGATACTCGTACAGAACTAAAGATGAGGAACAAAAACATAGTTCATATGCTGGTGAAGGCTCTTGATCGGGACAATTTTGAGCTGCTTATTCTGGTTGTATCTTTCTTGAAGAAACTGAGCATTTTTATGGAGAATAAAAATGACATGGTAATGTATAAAACATCTTGAAATAGTTTCTGCTATGTGTTTTCAAGCTAGAATATGTTGCTAATAAACTCTCTGAGATAATTCTGAATGAATATTTTATAATCACAGTAGCTCACTTAAATGGCTTCAGTAGGAAATGTCCTTACTGAGTTACTATTTCAGATAATTGAAGCTGTTTAGATAAAAATATTTTCCTTGTATATAGAATGAGCCTTTCTATATTTTAAACTCCTCACTGCCATCAAGTCTATTGCATCTCTTAGTGACTCCAAAGGGCAGCATAGAACTGTCTATGGATTTCAGAAATTGTAAATCTCTATGGAAGTAGAAAGCCTCATCCTTCTCCTACGGAGTAGCTGGCACTTTCAAACTGCTAACTTTGCTGTTAGCAGCATAGTGCATAGCCTGCTGTGCCACCAGGCCTCTATTTTAAACTTCAAGTTCACTGCTATTAATCAATGCCAACTGACAGTGACTTTATTGGGCAGTATAGCACTACCCTGTGTGTTTCTGAAACTGTAACTCTTTACAGGATAGAAAACCCTGTTTTTGTCCAGAGTAGGGGCTAGTAGTTTCAACTGCTGTCCTCGCAGTTAGCAACCCAACACGTAACCACCATGCCACCAGGCTTCCTATATGAAACTTAGTGCATGCCATTTTAAATTTAATGGATGCAAACATTTTAAACTTATTGTTACACTTCAGGATCATCTAAACATACTATTTCCTATGCACAATTTTTCTTCCTGTATATACTTGTGTAATTATAGTTTGGCCCAATCATTTCTCTGTCACCTACGGTTCCAATCAGTAGGAACAGCATGTTGACTCTGCTTTTCAAGTATCTCTTGAGAGGGTCCTTTCCTTCTATTCCCAGCACCAGTATATTCGTTTGGGTCCTCTTCATTTCTTGTTTGATGTTTTTGTAGTGGGCTGCTGACTATTCTTTGCTATTTTTAATTATGTTGACACAATAATCTTTGAGAAATACAAACTGAATTTGAAGTCTTTCCTTTTCCTGGGTAGATATATAATACAGAAATAGATGAGAGAGTACCTTCCCAAAAAACTTTTTTTTTCAAAAGCTATGTATCTAATTTTTATTTACAAAGCAACCTTATCACTTTCAAAGTACTCTCCATTACATCATGTAATACATTTGTCAAATCTGCGATTCCATTCTTGGAAACATTGTTCAAACTCATCTCTTTGGATGGCTTGACAACACCTCCCTTGCTTTTTTCTTCACCCCTTCTATGTTGTCAAAGCACTGTCCTTTCATGTTCCTCTCCATTCAAGAAAACAAAAAGTCACACGGAGTGAAGTCAGGTGAATAAGGTTCATGAAGCCAGAGAGGCATGCTGTTTTTTGCCAAAAGCTGCCTCACTGAGATGGCTGTGTAAGCAGGTGCATTGTCATGGTGGCAAAGCTAGTTCCCTGTCTTCCATCTTCCACAAACCAGGCCTTTTTTGGTTATACATTGTTATGCAATCGTTTCAGAATCTCTAAATAGAAAGCTTGATTAACAGTCTGACCTGGTGGAACGAACTCCCAATTGCATTACGAGTCGACATTTTCATCCATAGGGGATGTTGATAGATATCCAGAAATGAGGTTTGTCATCATTTGACATTTCATCCTTTTTGAAACAAGAAAACCACTCAGACACTTGAGTTTTTCCCATTGCGCTGTTCTTGTAAACGGTGTTCAACATCACAACAGTTTCTGCAGCATTTTTCCTGAGCAGGAAACATAATTTCACAGCTGCACAGTGTTCTCTTAAATTGGCCATCTCAAAAACTGAGGTTTGAGCGAAACCGCTTTTATGAAAAAATTCACTGTGACTAGAGAGAAGACCCTTCCCAGGCTATGCCACTGGGTGCACTAACTCAGAGTGACTTGCTTTGTGCTCGCCAAGCGGGAAGAATATGTATTATGAATGTTCTGCTCTGCCCAGCTCAATTCCGATTTTTTTCCCCATGTATATAAAGTATAAATTTTTATCATCTGCTTTTTTCCAAGCCATTAAGAAATCTGCGTAAGGTGAATGTTATATTGAATAGACATGTATTAAACACATCTTTTCATATATTTAAGGTGTCAACAGTTTTAAGGATTATACTTCAATGAAGATATCTGTAAATATATCTTTGTTTATATTTCTGATTATTTTCTTAGGGTAGATTTCTAGAAATGGAATCGTTGATGGTTTTTAAAACTGCATGCAATGTAAGTCATGTGGCCATGTGATATCAGTAGAAGTGGATTCCCCTTCATTTAGTCTAATTGTATATTTCTGCCTAATATTTTTCTACTACAATCAAAATTAACTAGGGAGGAGACTGAATTGAATGACATGACCTACTTTAAAAAATCTGAAACTGATTTACAAGTATTTAATAAATGCCTTGAACTCTGATATTTGAAATACATGAAATTTTATTTTACCCACAGATATTTAGTATCATCTGTCATCTTCATCATTAGCACATAATTATTGATGTTCACTATGTGCCTGGTATTGCTTTAAGTTTGACTCACTTGTAGGAATTAATAAAAACCATATTTTCTGTTTTCATTGATCTTATATCTAATAAGGATCTGATGACATGGTGATATATATGTATCCCTTGAGTAGGTGGAATATGGGGAAGAGTTCCTTCCCTGTAATAAAGTTGAAATGTATGCTTGCATTTATGTCGTTTAGATTAGTTTTGCCTTTAGTCGGTTTTCATGATTCAAATTGATTTGGCATCAATATGTGTTTGCTACGTAAGGATTAGATTTATATTGACGTAATGCATTTCTGATACCTTTATCAAAAATTATCTCTGAAGAGTATTATTAAAATTATTTTCTGGTTAAATAATGGAACTGGAAGGTCTGATAAAAACTTTTTTAAAGAAAGAAATGGAGGTTAGGAAAAGTAAATTATTTTCTAAGATCATAGAAGGATTTTATTATAAACAATATATATTTAATGTTTTGTTGAAGAAACATGTATTTTATTTATAGCTTATGAAATCAAGTTCTCTAGATCTTGTCTGGAGCTTAGATAGTAAATCTAGCCTCCTTGTTTTGCAAACGAAGTAACAAAGCATCAGAGAGGTTAGGTGACTTGCTCAAGAAACATCTTTCCAATAATAGAATAGGTTTCATACTCTTTTCTATTTCCAGGTCAATCGTTTGTTTAAAATTCTTTCTATTGTCTTAAGCAATTTTTAAATATTTTCTTTCAATAGCACCAAAAACCAGATACTTTTGTTTATTGACCTTGTAGCCTATGACTTGCTAAATAATTTTTAGTCCTGGCTGGTTTTTTGTTTGTAGATCTTGGGGGAATTCTAACTAGACAATTAACATCACCTACAAATAGAAACAGTTTTATTTCTACCTTTTCACCTTTACTCTTTTTGTGTAGTTTGCTTGCTTTATTGCTAGAAATAATGGCAAGGCTCGCAAGTACAATGCTGAAATTTAGTGGGAAGGATGGACACACCCCTGCCTTATTGTTGATCTTGGAGGAAACAATAAATCTTTCACATTAAATATGACATTAGTTGTAGGTTTTTGATAACTAATTCTGTTTCTATTTCTAATTTGCTGAGATTTTAATATGAAATGCCTTACCACATTTATTGAATTGATTTTATAGTTTGTCTTCTTTAGACTGTTGGTATAATGAATTCTAGTCATTAGTTTTCTGATGCTGAACCAGCCCTGGATTCAGGAGATAAGCATCACTTGTTGTATGTCATTAAATTGATTCTTCCTCTCATCTGATGGACAAAAACTGCACCACAGAGTGTCCTTGGCTTTGGTACTGATGAGACTGGCCGATTGCCAGGTCTTTTCTCCGTAGCTCTATCTGCTGGGGGGTTCAAACTGCTGAGCCTTTAACTATGTGTCATTGGGGCTCCTTAAACACCACTTTGTCAATATATATTGCTATTATTTTTACTTTTTATTGTGAATTGGTGAAGGTATACAGAACAGATAATCAGGTTTACATTGAACAAGTCATACCCATTTTATTTAAACTCATCCATTACAATCCCCTCAATGGACCATTGCTTATCTCAGTTTCCACCTGCACTTCCTGTTCTCATTCCTCCTCCTTTCCTCAGCCTCTGAATTTTGTCTGGGGGTAAATACTACTCTTTTGATCTTAAATTGTTGATTATCCTAATATAAGAGAAAATTCAGTTCTAGACCTGAAGGGTGAGTGAGGGGTGGGTATAATCTCAGGTTTCCGCCAATCTGACCAGTAAATCTTTTATGATTTTTGAGTTTAATCCCACATTTTATCGCACTCTATACAGAAACTTCTAATGTGAACTTTTCAGAGCAGATGGAAGTGTTAGTCAGGTACCTACCGCCTATTTCTTTTTATTTCATGGTTGTGGAAATTCATGTTTGCATAATCCATTCGTCTATTTAGGGGATGGCATAGTGGTTACATGTTAGGTTGCTAACTGCATGGTCAGCAGTTTTAAACCACCAGTTCCTCTGTGGGAAAAAAATGAATTATAGTTTTGGAAACCCACAGGGGCAGGTCTTATAGGTCTTCCCTGTCCTATAAGAATCAATTCATTGGTACTGAGTTAATGATCCATTTGGACTGTCTTCCCTGTCCTATAAGATCACAGTGAGTCAGAATTGACTCCATGGTAGTGAGTTATTGATCCATTGGACTGACTGTTTCATGTCTCTCATCATTCTTATTTCCTATGGATGGAGGAGACCAATGGCTGCACTTTAGATGGCTGTTCACAAGCTTTTATGACTCCAGTTGCTTCTAACCAAAGCGGGATGTCGAACATTATCTTTATGAACTGTTATGCCAATTGATCTTGGTGCCCTCCAAGACTATGGTCCTAATCCCCCAGATCCACCAACTTATTCTCTCAAAGTATTTGGTTACATCTAAGAAGCTTTCATAACTTTGCCCCCTGAATGCTCTACCATATCCCTGCATATATTTGAGCAAAAGTAATGTCCTTTATCAATTTTGTATGTATTTGTGGCATACTCCCTCTTTTCCTCCCACACCTGTTCAACCTGGATGTCTATCTAAGGATCTACTCATAGATCAGCATGATTGTAGGATTGTATATAAACTGTGTTTGTCTCTGTTGCCTTTTAACTGTTGCAAACATTCCAGTGCCTTCCCCTACCTCCATTTTTACCAACTTCTCTCTTACTATGTATTGCCTTTCCTTCCATGCAAGTTAACACTAGCCCCTGACTTTCCCTCCCTTTCTTCTCCTTCCCCAGGTAAACATCAAAGAATGTTTCTTTCAATGTAAAAATGTGTTTTGTTTTATTTTTAACTTTTTCTAATACTGGCCTCATAAAATATTTTTACTTTTGTGATTGACTGATTTGAATCTTCCAGATTCATCCATGATATGAGGTTTTTCATAGTCATCAATATTCTATAATGTTTATCCCACTGTATCTGTCTGTCTATGTGTGTATCAAAGTTTACTTATCATTTCTTCCTTCAGTGAGCATTTGGCTTGTTTACATTTTTTTGCTATTGTGAATGCTGTGCTGAACATGAGCATGTGTATGTCTATTTGGATCATGGACCATATTTCTCTATAGTAGTTACCAAGTAGGGGGATTGCTAGGTAATGTTTTTTCTATTTTCAACTTCTTGAGTAAGTGCCACAGCGGCTACATCATTTCAGAGTCCCAACAGTAGTGATGGGGGCTACCCTTTCTGCATTCCCACCAGTATTTGTTGTTTTCTGCTTTTTTTGAACTTTGCTCTTAATTCTGGAGAGATGATATATCATAGTTGTTTTGATTCCCACCTTTCAAATGACTAATAAACATGAGCATTTTTTTGTTTTGTTTTTTGGCCTCCTGGATGTCTTTTTTGGGTGAAGTAGCTGTTTGTTTCCTGTGACTTTTTAAAATTGGATTATTTGTCTTTTCCTTGTTGAGGAATTAAAATTGTTTATAAATTTTAGAGACTAGTCCTCTGATATGCCATTGCTAAAAATGATTCTTAGTCTGTGGGTTCTCTTTTTACCCTTGTAGTGCAATCTTGTGATGTGCATTAGTCTGATTTTTAGGGGTTCTCTGAGTCATCTGTTTTGCCTCTGCTATTTGTATATTTTTCCTGATTTTTGATAGTGTACTTCTGCCATGTAATAGGCCTCCTAAATTTGTCCGTATATTTTCAGTGATGATCTTTATAGTTCTAAGCTTTACATTAGTTTCTCTGATCCATCTTGAATTTACTTTCTTAAATTGCATGAGATACAGGCCCTGTTTAATTCCTCGGTAAATGGTTTGTGTAGTATTGCTATCATCATTTCATAAAGGTTGTGTTTTCTCCATTTAAAGTATTTTTGTTCCTTCGTCAAAGATCAGCTATCCATATATTGATTATACACTTTGGGTTCTCAATTTTGTTCCATTAGTGTATGTGTATATTGCTGTACTAGTACCGTGCTGGGTTTTTGTTGTTGTCATTGTTGTTTTCTCACTAGTTATTTATTATTTCCAGTTCATTAACTGAATTGAACAAAGCGAAGAGTTAAAAGAGGAGTTTCTATGTTTGGAATTATTAGATTCATCTGTATAACCAAAGCACCCTTACCATTAACTGTCAATATTTCAAATTACATATATTTGGATTTTGAGGCACAAGTAATTCTTACATTTTTTAATGTTTATTTTTTTCAGTTTCACCAAGATATAGTTCACATATCATACATTTCAATCATTCAGTCACATTCATAAGAGTTGTACAAACTTCACCGCAATCAATTCCAAAACATTTCTTCTTCTTTGTACTTATTGTTAGCTCCCCATTTCCCACCTGCCTTCCCTGTCATGTCCCTTTGAATCTATTAATCCAGTTGTTGTCACTATAAATTTACCTAAATTAAGTTTCATATAAAGGAAAACATACAAATTCAAGACAAAATGCAAACAAACAGTAATGACAGAATGAAACAGAGAAAAACTATAATCAAAAACAAAGCTGAAAGTATTAAAAATTGTAGCAATTAGACATCGGATCAAGAGGGAGATGGTTCACAAGGAGTCACATTTTGACCTAGCTACAGTTGCAGTAAATGGTGGTAAGCTATCCTACAATGGACTCTTTCTGATAACAAGGCTTTTACCATCTCTGCTCAGTAGTCAAAGGGGAGATACCAGAAACTTAATCTACTTATGAGACCTTGAGAATGAGTTGGAGTTCTTTTTGTGGGTTTGTTTTGTGTGTTTTTTTTCGGTCATCCATTGCCATCCATAGCCTTCTGCAAACTGTGTGTTCAGAATTCAAATTCTAATACTGTACCTTGCCCTCCTATGGATTTGTATTTTACTTACAGTTCTCAAATCACACAGCCAGGCATGCTTCTTCCGATGTCTCACTTAGATGGCTGTTTATTTTAAGACAAGGATTTATGTTTCATCTATTTCATATCTATCTGTGTGCCTAGTCCACTGCCTTGCTAGAAGTTGCCTTTGTTTTTGCTTTATTTTATTTTTTGTACTGGGCTGACTACAACATGCTCTGAATTAAAAACATTAATGGTACTCTATTGCCTATAGAATAATGTTTCACTAATGCATAGTTGCATAGTGAATTGCCTGTTGGGCTGTTAACTGTATGATCAGCAGTTCAAAGCTAACAGCCGTTGTTCAGGAGAAAGGTGAGACAGTGTGGTCCTATATGGATTTACAACCTTAGAAGTCCAAAGAGCCAGTTCTACTCCATCCTAGACGGTCCCTGTAAGTCAGAATTGGCTCAGTGGTGGTAGGTGTGGTTTTGTATTTGAGGAGTTGTTGTTGTTAGGTGCCATTGAGTTGGTTCCATCTTATGGTAACCCCGTGTACAACAGTTCAAAGTACTACCCAGGCCAGGGCTATTCTCACACTCTTTACTACGCCTAAGCCCATTGTTGCAGCCACTGTATCAAAATGTCTTGTTGAAGGTCTTCTTTACCAAACGTGATGTCCTTTTCCAGGGACCAGACCATTCTAATATGTCCAAAGTACATGAGATAATGTCTCAGCATTTTGTATTCTAAGAAGTATTCTGACTATATTTCTTGTAAGACACATTCATTCATCCTTCTTGCTGTCATGGTATGGTCATCATTCTTTGCCAACACCATAATTCAAAGGCATCGATTCTTTGATCTTCCCTTTATTCATTGTCTAGCTTTTGCATGCATATGGGGTGATTGAAAATATCATGACTTGGGTCAGATACATCCTTGTTCTCACAATTATATCTTTGTTATTTAACACTTTATCTTTTATAACAGACTTAGCCAATGCAATATACATGCTTGCTATCTTAAAATTACTAAGAGAGTGTAAGATAAGATATAATAATAATTTATAAATTAGTAAGGGTTCATGAGAGAAGGGAGAGCGGGGAGGGAGGGGAGGGGAAAAAGGAAGATGAGGAGCTAATTCAAGGAACCCAAGCGGAAAGCGAATTTTGAGAGTGATGAGGGCAACAAATGTGTAAGTGTGCTTTACACAATTGATGTATGTATGGATTGTAATGAGTTGTATGAGCCCCAATAAAATGATTTAAAAAATTACTAGGAGAAAATATTCTTACATTATATGCTCCTTCTTCATCCTTCCTCATTTAATAACGTCACTAGATGATAACATGCATTTGATCATTAAAAACACTGGGTTAATGAAAACCCTGTATTAAGTGCTAACCCCTGTACTGAATCAAATTAAGATTTCAAACTGGGTCTTCAAGGATTGCCTGGGGACCAATTAGTACATATTTACCTAGGAAATAGATAAAAATTAAGAAAACAAGAAAAAAATGTTTAGTTGTAATCTTTTTTGTCTTGCTTTGCTACAGAACTTCATTTTATTTGTATTGTCATTTTACACAGGTAGAAATGGATATTGTTGAAAAGCTAGTTAAAATGATCCCGTGTGAGCATGAAGATCTGTTGAATATCACCCTCCGGCTTTTACTGAATCTGTCCTTTGACACTGGATTAAGAAATAAGATGGTGCAAGTTGGACTGCTTCCCAAACTCACTGCACTTCTGGGTATGCTTTTAAAGACTAGTAATATCTCTGCTTGGACTTTCTTTCATTAGTGGAAAATTGAACTGGTTGTGGTTCACAACTCTCCTTGATGTGAATGAACTATTGAATTGTGAATGATATGATATGGCATATGATATGTGAATTATATGCCAATTAAACTGTTGGAAAAAAACATGATAGATAAACACACGCAAAAAAAAACCCTACACATATTCTTTTGGTGGGACTGTCAGAAGGGTAAATAGTAAAAAATAAGCATAAACAGAATAAATTAATGAGAAAGCAGTCTGTACTTGGATTTCTGGGGTACTATGAAATGAAATGGAATAGAAACTTATAACCTTGGACTTCACTTACCCATACTGAACTCAAGTGAAAAATATGTAAGTACTGCCAGAGAATATAGGAGGAAAAATTACTTACCTTTATCATATCTTTAAAGGCAGATGCCATTTATGATCTCAGATTATGATCTTTGAATACATGGCTTCATGGAGCCTTTTGTGATTGCTAAAGAAAGACAATCTTGTATAGCATAAGTTAGAAAATCCTATATTGGAGGATATACTCCCTGCCTTCAAGTCAGTGCTGACTCATAGCAACCACCTGTGGGTTTCCGAGTCTGTAACTTTATAAGAGTAGAAGCCCAGTCTTTCTTCCAGAGTTTCTGGTGGTTTTGAACTGCCAACCCTGTGGATCACAGCCCAACACATTACCCCACAGCATCACCAGAGCTCCTTATGTTAGAGGAGATAGCACATTAAATTAAAGCTTTCTCTAGGTATTAGTTGGATCTCTATACTTAGGATGAATGAGTTAAGTCTTGTGTGCTCTCCTACGTAATGTCAACCTTCTTAGTTAACAACATTGAAATCCTTTGTGATCTGTCCGCTTTCTGTCTGTGTAGACGCCTGCCATTCTGCACTATGTACTTTATACTGTATCTATAACCAACGATACAAATGGTTAGCACATTCTGTTGGTAGTTCAAGTCCACCCATAAGGGCCTTGGAAGAAAGGTGGCCAACTTCTGGAACATTAAACATTAAAAATGCCATGTATGTCAGTTCTACACTGATACATATGGAGTTGTCGTAAGTTAGGTTTGACTTGATGACAAATACTTTCTGTTTTTTTTGGATGGCAATATTGAAATACATGCAATCCTTAAACAGGCTCTTTAATGCAGAGTGCCTCTCTGCCTGATTTTATCTTAAGCTAGAATCTCATTGCCTTTCTTAACCATTGAGCAAAGTTTTGCTCATTTTTCAAGAATGTTCCTTTTAATTTTGCAGTATCATTTTTAGTCTTTTACTCTTAAGTATGGAATGATTTACAATGAAGTTTATTTTTAACTGTTCAGTGTCAGTTAATCCAGTATCTCATTGGGCATTGTCATTATCCTTTTTATAATTTCATGGTTTACATGTACTGAATGCTGCCATGTGCTTTATGTACATAATCTCATGAAATTTCCATCAGAGATAAGTAACTTATTTATTTGGGATTAGACAACTGATAAGAGGCAGAGCTAGAATTCAAACTCAGATCTATCTACTACCAATGTTTGCTTTATTAACTACCACATGATTTAGTAGGTAAGATAGATGTAGAAGTGAAAAATTCCAGATCCCCAAGTCCCCTCAAAATGAGTTTTAGGAAGCACCACCCTATCTTTTCTTTAAAAATTTCTTGCATGCTATTTTAATTTTTGTTAATAGTAAGATTTTAGATAAAAGATTTCATATCCAATACATAAATTACTATTATCTGTATTCCTCTAGACCTCAATCTCTGGAACCAGAGATTGTGACTCTTGTTTACTTCTAAGTCTGTGACTTTTGGCAAGCTACCAAAACTTTTTGTGACTTGATTTCCCTCTATTACACTGAATTTAGAATACTTTCGAGGGTAAATCTAATTATACATGTAGTATAATTAGAGTAGTACCTGGTAGCACATAGTATTTTCTCAATAAATGTTAGATCTTATTATCATTTTTCTTATCATTATTCTTTGATAAAAAATTGAAATATTGTAAGTGTTGCTGATTGAGCTTTCTTGGTGGCATAGGGGTTACATGTTGGGCTACAAGCCTGGCCTGCAATCAGCAAGGTCAGCAGTTCAAGCCACCAGCCAGATCTTTGGAGGAAAGAGAGTCTTTCTAGTCCCGTAAAGAATGAGCAGTCTCTGAAAGTCACAAGGGCGGTTCTGCCCTGTCCTATAGGGTAGCTGTGAGGCAGCATTGATTCGATGTCAGAGCGGTGGTTTTGTTTTTTGTAAGATATGGTGATGATCATGGAAACTTCAGATACTGGTAACATGGTGAAGCTTTGAGTAGCATTTTTCTTTACAGTGTTATCTCATTATTTTCTTTGCAATATTAATTCCTAAGGCATTAGAATTTTCTATACCAGAAGGAGTCCTGGTGGCACAGTGGTTATGTAGTGGTTACACATTGGGCTGTGCTTCACAAGATGAATGGTTTGAAACCACCGGCTGCTTCACAGGAGAGACACGGCTTTTTCTCCTTTCTCTGTAAACATAGTCTCCAAAACTCACAAGTTAGGGCTTTAAAAATGTCTGTCTCTGATCTTGGCTGCTCGATAAAAACTGGTTGAAAGCAATATTATTCTTTTAGGCATTTAATGTTTAGATATACTTTATTAACTTTGGCTAATCCTCCTATACTAAATAAAATAGATAATTGGCCAAATAAAGTTCCTGTCAAAAATTTCCTGGGAGAATAAACCTAAAAGTTTATAAGAATAAGCGTCCTCATTTCTCCAGTACTTGAAGTCTCCATGCTCCTCATCATATCACCCCGTGGCTCACAGCCCAAAGCATGACCACTGCACCACCAGGGCGCTTTCAAAAGAAGAGGTCTTCTGATTTGAACAATTATTAAAGAAGCCAGGAAGTTACAGCTCAGCTCTTTTGCTTTGTGTAGTTACTTATCTTTTGATCTATCTGAGGACTAATCAATAGGTTTTTGAAGATCATTACTCTAAGAGAAAGTCACTGAACAGCAATGTGTATCACATGGTCCCGTGTAACTAGGGTCACAGAGGGGGGCAGGGACCTTCCTATTTAGGTAGGTGTGCCATGCCTTTTCTGATTTTTCTCCTACTTTCATTGCTAATAAGCCATGGCATTTTAACTCAGCAATTCTATTTTGAATTTTCAATGTTCACATGTCCCTTTGCTTAGTGACTTTAGTTTTCCCTTTTGATTCTCCTTAGAGGTCAAGAAATTATTGACAATCGTAGAAAACTAGCAAAATAGAATGTCTAGTGATAAAAGAAAGGGAAAAAATGTACATTTTAAAATTTTTTAATAAATCATTTATGGGGGCTCGTACAGCTCTTATAACAATCCATACATCAATTGTATCAAGCACATTTGTACATATGTTGCCATCATCATTTCCAAATCATTTTCTTTCTACTTGAGCCCTTGGTATCAGCAACTCTTTTTTCCGCCTCCCTCCCCTCCTCTCCCACCCTCGTGAACCCTTGATAATTTATAAATTATTTTTATTTTCATATTTTGCACTGTCAGCTGTCTCCCTTCACCAACGTTTCTGTTGTTCGTCCACCTGTGGGGGTAGTGCATGTCAATCATTGCACTCGGTTCACCCTTTCTCCCCCTACCTTCCCTCAACACTCATAGTATCACTACTCTCATTGGTCCTGAGGGGTTTATCTGTCTCGGAGTCTGTGTATCAAGAGCTTTTATCTGTACCAGTGTACATGCTCTGGTCTAGCCAGATTTGCAAGGTAGAACTGGGGTCATGATAGTGGGTGTTGGGGGACAGGTAGAGGAATGTTATGTGTTTCATCAGTGTTGTATTGCACCCTGAGTAGCTTGTCACTTCCTTGTGACCCTCTGTGAAAGGATGTCCAGATGTCTACAGATGGGCTTTGGGTCTCCATTCCGACACCCCTCATTCGTTTTAAAATGGTTTGGTGTTTTGGGTTTTATGCATGATACCTGATCCCATAGACTTACCTCTTGATCACACAGGTTGGTGAGAAAAATGTACATTTTGAGGAGAAATCACTTAGGATAGAGAACAATGTATTAAACTTCTATAAAATACAATGTAATATTTGCAAGTGTTCAGGCCATCTAAAAATGCCTATCTCTTTACATAACTTTAGTAATTTTGATGGCACCATTATTTTCTACTCTTTTATATTATAGGTCAAATAACTTTTTGCAGACCCTTTTAAAAATGAGCCTTAAAAAGAAAGACATGTTCCAAATCCCAAATCATAACTGATTCAGCATTAACTTTTGAAGAATAACTATTTTGTAAACTATGCATCTATTTCAGTATCATTTCAGATGCTGAATGCCTTCCTCCCCCCTTTTATTCATTCTTTTCTAGGAAAACCTATATATTAAATGTACTAGTTATGAGGACAAAACAATAATGTTTTGGTGAACAACTTTAGGATCTCAGTGGGTTAAGACCCAACACATATTTCTTGCTCAGGTTACATGGCCATGGTAGGTGAGGAGAGGGTGCGCGTCCAGGTGAACATCAGTCAGCAGACCAGACTCTCACAGCCTTCAGGTCATCGTAGAACCTGAGGAGAAAATGGAAAATTGCAAACCTCACTCAAAGGCTTCCACTCTGAAATGATAAATTTAATTTTTGCTTGTATTCCATGGATTAAAACAATGCACATGGCCATGTCTATCTACATAAATAAAAAATGCCTGGCAGGAAAAGAACTGAAACATTATTGAGCCAAGCAGCTTAATGGCCCTGAAAGAAATTTTTCATTTTTTCTGAATTTTAGTTGGTTTTCCAACATAGCCAACCCATCACAGAAAACCTTCCTGTCAGTAGTATGAAGAGGCTTTAAAAGTTGATGAGAAAATTCTATTTCCTTTAATTCCATTTTTTCCATGAACATTTGAAGCACTTCATGATGGCACAGGTCATGTTGACTGAAAGCTAGGATTCTGCTGACAGATACATGCTTTTG